GCAAGGTGTTTTCGGAAGTGGTTTGCCAGTGCCTCCTTCCTAGAGCAGAGCCCAGCTGGCGCATGCAGGAGGCGGGGTTTCCGTTGCTTCGCGCCTTTTTCGGGCGTGTGCGGCTTCTGCACTACTGGCAACTGCTCCCAACTCCTTTTGCAAGCGCCACCAGCATTTTTCCTCCCACCGGAGTGAGAGTACCCATTTATCTACTCACGTAAGTTTTCGATCTGTTGGGTTGACAGGAGCTGGGGAGGAAACAGGAGCTTACTCTGCTGCACGAAAGTTGGGCTCGAACTGCTGAAGTGTTGACCATTTCTGGCCGGCAACTTTCGGCGTCATTAAGCCACTGCGCCACCGCATCCCCATTTTCTTGTAGCCTAAGATATCTTAAACTGTATTTATGTTAAATTATATCGGTCCAGTTAAGTTATTGCTGTGAGTGCACAATGCATCTTTATCACTGAATAGCTGTCAAAGTAACTACCAGGGCTAGAAGGACCCAGGTCAGAAACAAAGATCCTGAGACCATGAATGATCCTTACAATAAGAATGCGCAGATGTCAGTGCCCTCCATCCTGAGAAATAACCTGCTCTTGTCCATTGGGGCACACAGGCAGGAAAAAATATCTAAGGTGTCAACCTCTGGATTGTTGTATATATAGCTCAAGGCTTATATTTGGCAATTGCTGGTTATCTAGATTTTTTATGGCTTGTCTAGTATATCTAGCTTATCAAAGAGCTGTGTCTCCTTAAATCTCTGCCTGCTAGCCTTCTATTTTAGGTAATGGGCTGGGTGTAACACAGCCCAATACTACCACACAAGTTACCAAATGTACCTGTAATATCAATAATCAAGAAATGTTTAAAAAGCTTCTGATTGTTAGTCTCCTTTTTAAAGAACTGCCACAGGGAAAAGGAATAAAAGAAATCCCATTTATCCATTTTCCCTGTATCATGTTTGGTTTCCCCAAAGTGCAATGTCATTTGCTTCATTGGCCATATTTATCATTTTCAATAAGCTGTTTTTTTAGTAGAAATTGCAATCTTCAGTTTGTGTTGGAGACTGACTTGCTCTTTTCCATCCAGAATGCTATGGCATAACAAAAGCTGGGAACATTTTCAGAAACCAAAGTATCAGTTGCATTTCTTTACATTGGTGAGTGTTTGCTCCAAAGTCATGCTCATTAATGAATGACATGTACTTGGTTTGCTCATGATAGCCTGGCATCCCATATATTAACTCTAAGTAGCCACCACCTCAGCGAATACAGGTGGGATGCAGCTGTCTGGACTTCTGTCTTTGACATGGGCCAAAGGACCTAGTTAGGCTGTGCGCTACTGATACATAATGCAGAAAAGAGATGGCTGCTTTGTAGTTTACAATAGCAGGAAGGAAACATTTCTGCAGCTGTCAATGCAATGGATGTGACACGGAAGCTCAAGGACACATGGATAAAGATTATTGTTGTATGCAGCTTTCCTAAACGTGGTCCCAGTGTCTGTTAGAAATTGCTTGGTATTCACTTCCAGCTGTCGGTTTCTATCAGCTGAACAAGATGCCTGTCTACCTCAGTCGCCCTTTGGGAATTTCCTCACTGCTTCCAACAGTACTATTTAATTATACTTGTATAGCAGCAGGCATTTGGCCTCAAAATTAATTGCTTTGCTACAACTGCACTGATTGACAAGAGGCATAGTAGGTTTTTTCCCTTTTCTTTTTTCCCCCTCTGTATTTGATCAAAATCTTTGTTAGTGACCAAGTTTTTAACTATATATTCATAAAAATATGATGATACCAAAATGCTGGGGCACAGGAGATTTAATGAGATGCTAGCAACATCTTTGCTTACATAAGCCTGCATGTTGCATCTGAAAGAACAGGATTTTTTTAAAAAAAATCTAATGCAAAATGTTTCTACAATATTGAGTCAAGATGCTGATTAAAAAAACCTGAAGCCTAAGTGTAAAAAGCTTGTTCCAGAAACTCACCTAGATTCTAACACTTTTCAAAAGTTGTAATTGATATATGTATCTCTGGCAGGTTTATTCCCAAAGGAAATGAGAAGTTTAGGTGAATTTTTTAATATTCCAGAGAATTCAGTATTTATCCTGATGATCTCAGCTCTGCCTCTGTTGCTACTCTCTGCCAGCCGTGGCACGAGATAGTGATTAACTGTCTTCATGGCCCCATAATAACCATGTCTGAAATATTCTGCATGATTAACCTATTAGATACAATGGAGCTCCCAGCATTCTCATGGTCAGTTTCTGTTTGCTTTCTAGTATCCCAAAAGAAGTAAATGAGATTACTCACAGAGATATAGTCATTGGCTAATGCAAGATTTAGAGGTGCAAATGCAGAAATCAGAAGTGAGCAGAGTGACTTAAACGGTAGAAATTCAAACCATTTAGGGGACAAGGAAATTATTTTCTTAGTTTGGGGGTAGTTTCCTTTCATTCTTTCTTTTAAGGGGGAATATTCATAAATGTGTATTTGTAAATGTAGGTTTACAATAGTTGGAAACATATCATGTGGAATAATGAAGACAATATTAAGAGCATGAGAAGAAGCTCAAGATCAGGAAAGAGGGTCTGGAGATCAGGGGACTATTAACTACATTCACATACTTAGTTTACTTTGGTATACTTTATAAATAACATGGATGAAGATTTGTTTCATCCATTTAAATACATGGTTATGGGGTGATCCAAGAGATTGCACTAGTCAATCCAAACAACTTTGCACCAGGCTTCTAGGAAATGACAAGTATCTAAGCTACTCTGCATAAATAAATTACTGAAGCATGTTTAAAACATTAAATTCTAGGAAAGATCTTCACATTTTTTCCAACAGGTGCTGCCTGAAATTGTTGGTATGTAATCTTTTGAATCCCAATTTTGTACTAATAACTTTTGGAAGTCACGTTCTTAATTCATAGAGAAAATTAGATTTGTTGAGAAATCTAACAAAATAATGACAAACTAGGGCTACCGGGTCTGGACTTAGATGACCACTGGATGGCAGCTGCTGTCTAGTGGTCATCTAAGTTTTTGCAGTCCAAATCTAGTAGCCCTAGAAAAACTTCACCATAACTTTAAAAATTTTAGACCCTGATTAGGCTACAGACTGAATTCTAAACTTCTCTCTCCCAACCTTTTTTCTCTGAACATAAGTACTCGCCCTCTCTCTGATCTCTTTTTTGATGTGCACCAACACACACACTTTCTCTTTTCCCTGCTATTTATTCTCCAGCTATCCAGTGCTGTTTCTGTGCCCTGCATCTTTCTTAGCTTGTACATCAGTGACATATCCTATTAAGCTGACATATCAGTGCGGAGGCACTGTATCCTCTCTTGCCTAAACAGTCATTCTGGAAGTTCCGCAGCTGAAGACTTTGATGTGATTTCTTTTCTAGCAACGTGAATGCTGTACCAGGAACACATTAAATGCATGAAGAAATGAGTGCAGCATTCCACATAGTAAATGAGCTGGGAAACACGGTGTATGTTAAAAAGTCCTGTATGAAACATATGGGTCTGGCTCAATATTTTTACATAGGAAAAATCAAGAAGATGTGGGTGCTTTCATTTCTTAAGTTCTGCAATAAATTTCCTTAAACAAAAGTAGCATGTTGATACCTCTGAAGGTGATAACAATTTCATATCCTCACATTGAATATCCAGAGTTATATTATTTGAGTTGTTTCAGGTCAAGTCTTTCCTTCTGCATAATATCAAATGGAGAACAAAATACAGCACTCTTCCCATCCATGTATTGAAGCAGAAATTGCATTTTTTTTTCCTTTTAAAGCTATCCTATAGAAACAAGGTGGCTAGCATTTTAAATAGTATATATTGTGGGCTATATGACCTGGTGCATGTACCCCCACTAGCCAAAATTTTTTATCAGGCTGTTCTTAGATCAGCCTTCCCCAATCTGTTACTTTCCAGATACATTAGACTAACCTCTCATCACTCCCAGCCAGCAAGCAATTGATGTTTTTGAGTGAGAATGATGAGAACTATGGTCTAGCACATCTGGAAAGCATCAGGTTGGCAAAGCCTGCTTTAGATTTATTAAAATAGTTATTTCCTCTAGCACCTATATGTACTATGTTTGTATGTATGTAAGAGAGGGAGAAATTTGTGTCATGATCAGAAATGGGAATGATTGTGTTTTTGTTTGTTTGATGGAAGACTTATCTAGGGCAACCTCTTGACTTGGACTGTATGCTCAGAGCCTTAAGTATACCAGCTGAAGAGTTATTCTTTTTTCTCTCTCCATCATCCTTTACCCCTCTCTTTCCCCTACTTTATGTAGTCCTGGACACACAACATCCAGCGAGAGAAGGAGTTCCTACGAAAACTGGTAAAAGCTCGAGTAATCACAGACCTCACCAGTGGGATCTGAAGAAAAGCACAGCCACTGTGCTGGAGAGCACAGCTACGTGTATCCAGCTAAGGACGAGGGCAGCAAGAGGTCTTTAGCAAGAATTCCGGCTTCTTAGAAATGCCCTGAGCCCTTGGATCGTCTCCCTGGCTTGCTTTGTCTGCCTGCATCAGGGCCAGCAGGGGAGCAGCAGCTCTTGGTTTAAGAGGGCCGGGCCCTCACTTGGAACTGCAGGAGGATGTTTTGCTGGAGATAAAACATCAGTGGAGAGAAGAAAAATAGGCCTGTGAAACAAAATAAATTTGTGCCAAGCGGGAACAGGAGCCAGGCCGGAGGCAGCAGTGTTTGAATGTACAAGGAACTATTTTTTTTAATAGCAAGAAACAAGAATTACAGTAAACATACCAATGGGCAAAGTGGAGCCTAGCCTTTGAACAGGCCCAGTGGGACACTTCCTTTACCACTGCATTTAGCCTGTCCCTGGGCCAGCCATGGCTCCTTTGCAGGGTCTCAGTTCATCCAAGGTTTGTCTGTCGGTGCTGCTATAATGTCAAGGTATTGTGACCTCTCTTTGCTCTAGTTGGAGCAAATTAGAGTTTTGTTAGATCTTTGGACTCCCTGCTTCTCAGGGGGCCTCCACTGCTGCCACTGTTCATCTGGCTGCATGTTTAGACTATTCATGAACCTCACCTCATCATATTGGGGAGCTTAACCTGCTTTGCAGGTTCACCTCAGATTCTGCTGGCAGATAACCCAGTATTTGTTTTCATTAGCTTCTGTATCATGCTTCTGAACAGTATGATACTTTTTCTGTTCTTGTTTCTTTGGAGAAGGAATAATTTATTTTTGGATAAGGACCAAAACTGTCCTAAAATATGAAGATTTATCAATGTTTATGGTACCAGAGATTTTTCATTCATTCTACTACACTTAGTTTATGAGAATAATACCTTGATAGGGTGTAGATTTTTCTGTACACTATGATAAGAGATGACAACTACCTTGTTTTTCAGCTTCCGTATGTCTGATTTCATTTTGTTTTTTTCCAGATGGTTTCTACATCCCTCCATATTTTTTTTAAAGAATAGCAGGGACTCTTTGTTACGTCTCTGCTCTATGTTTCAGATGCAGTATTTGCACAAGTATGTATTATCTGTATTGGTAAGATTTGAAATACATGTACGAGATCCAGCGGTGCATTTAAATTAATTAGCATGCCTTTCCTTATATGGAGAGGATGTGAGAATCTGGCAGTTCTTCTCATGAAGATAGAGCTGAAGAATTCTCATCCTGTATAGGTCAAGGGTACAGCTTGCATTCAGTACTGTGAATATGCATTTTGCTTGCTCAGTGCCCTAAACTAAGATAGGTTCTTAACAGGGCACTGGGTACTCTGCCAAATAAGCAAAGTTGAGGCAGTAGCTCAACTGTTCCCATAATTATTTTTAGATGGTCAAAAACTGAAAACGTGTGAATCTATAATAATGCAACTGGTGATGTGAAAAATCCTGCACAATCACTGTAGTAATAAGTCATTGCAGAAGGTCTACAATATTACCCTGAGTAATGTGGCTGTGCATCCCAAATGTGCAATTTTCATTGTGTACATACTGAAGTATGCCCACTTGAATGGTGGAGGGTGACTGCTTTATTTGTTGGCTTTCATAGTCTTGACAGACTCTTCCCAACCAAAAGTATTTTGGTATGTCTTAAGTATGGACTTGCAACCAGACTTTCTAAACAATGTATGCAATTTGCTGCCCCAGGACGTTATGATGGTAAGTAGTATAGATGGCTTTAAAATCGGAAAAAATAAGTTCAGGGAGGATAAGGCCATCTAATAGTTATTATGGTTATATGGAACTTCCTGATTCAGAGGAGAGGTACTTCGAAATATAAGTAGCTGAAGAGCAATGGCACTGTGTGTTACTATCTTCATGCCATGCATGAGGATCTCCTGGAACATCTGACTGGCTATTGAGAGGAGCATGGTGCTGAGCTAGTTGGGCAATTATCTGATCTGGTGGAGCTCTTTTTATCTCCTCAATCTTATGAATGCAGGTCAATGTCTTTGAATTTTACCCCTGTTCTCCATTGATGTGCTATGGACATGTCCTTCTGAAGGATAAGCATAGGGAGACATAGAAATATCAAGAATTTGGCCATACCAGCAAAAATTGGAATGGCTCCACAGGCCTGAGGAATATAGTATTCACCTGAAAGACTAGTTTTTCCCTAAATAATTTACCTTTAAAATGGGAAAATTCACTTAGATGGCAATGGAGATAAATTCATTTTGTTTTTCACTGTTCCTTTTGGAGGGAAGGGACCAGCTTAAATTCAGGACTGTTTCTCTTTTGTATAAATATGGTACGTGGGTGACTGAGGTGTTTGGGTGGAGCCAGCTGCAGCACTTGTATCAGTGTATGTTTCTTGGGCTACATGTTTTTTCTGTGTCCCTTTCTCACTGGATGTTGTGAATCCAGGATTCCACTCCTGTCGACAGCTAAACATCCACTTTTCAAATAAGAATGGTTTTTGTACTATAGAAAAATCATGGTCCTGTAGGAAGCTCCATATTGGATTTAAGGGTAACTGTCAGGCAGGATATGTTGAGAGAATGTGGAAGAAAAGGAGACAAACATACACAAGGAAAACCTAGAGAGACAGACAGACAGACAGACCTCTAGGTGGAAGCAAAGTAACATAAACCAATTGCTGAAAGGAGGCTCAAAGTACATTTGCAAGCAATTCTAATGTGAAAAAGGGCAGAGGGGTGTTGTACATCAGTTGCTCAGAATAAGTATACTAGCAAAATCCTAACAGGTAAAGAAAAGACAGTTACTTGACTTCTATTTTATTCAATGTACTCCAACGAAAAAGTATGTCTAGTACCAGAAAATGGTAAAAAACAAGAGGAAACAGGCTTGAATCCTGAAATTGATAAAAATAATCAAGGACTATCTATTTACTTCTAGTTTAATCTCAAGGACCAGATGAATTGCATCCTAGATTTCTGAAAGAATTAGATAATTATTTGACTTAATTCTTACATTTTAGTCATGAAAAATCTGGAGAATTTGTGAAGTGTCAGATGATTAGATGAGAACTAATGTCTTAATTTTCAGAAACGGGGGAAAGGAAGACTAGCAAAGTACAGATCAGTCAGACTGACCTGGGAAAATTCTAGAGGAAGCTATGAAGAGATCCATGTGTAAGCACTTGAAAACAATGTAGTAATTTTATCAATAATAAATCTCAATAGACAAATATTACCTTTTATATTGACTTCCTTGACAAGTTGTGAGAATGCTATAGACATTTCATATTTTGATTTCAGCAAAGCAATTGATAGAGCATCCTCTGACATGTTGTGTACATGCTACATTACAGAATGCAGGACATGGAATAATGGCTTTAAATTCCAAGAAAGCAGATTCTGATTGAATGTTGGAAAAAACTTCATAAACCATGCAGTTTGAGAGTAGGAACAATAACTGAGAGGAGATGCTCAAGTGGAAGTCAGACAGGTACCTCTCTGGGATGTATTAATTTGGATTTTTGTACTGAGCAGGGAGTTGGACTCCTTGGCCTAAATGGCCTCTTCTAAATGTTTAATTCTGTGGTCTTATTTTATTTTATTTTATTTTATAACAAAGGGGTAAGGAGGAGGACTTTAGAATCAATCTTGTCAAATTATTAGAATTCTTTTGCTTATAATTTTCCAGACTTTTTTTCCTGCAACATTTTATAAATGTTTAACACTACATTATTTTAACACTGCTATATGTATGCATTTTTTCTGTTAATTAATTTGGTTCAATAAGAATACATTTTTAAATAACAGAGAATTTGAATACTTCCCAAGCCAATTGACATCTTGAGCTGGTCATCATCTGAATACCATTAAGGGATTAAAGCAAATTATATCTCCACTACACTGGCTTGTCTGGACGACCATTATTCATTAGAAAAGACTTCTTTGCTTTGAACACAACTGCCTATTTAGATTTTATACTTTAAGACCAATTCCAAGGTTGGCCCTTCCCATGGCTCTTACTTTCCACCCAGAATTAAATTAATTCCCTCAATGAAATACAGGGGAAAATGGAAATTTCTTGTCTGAGAATTTTTTTCTAAGATTCATTGAGGGAATTGCACTTATTGTTTCATTGAGATCACAAGCAGACTTTTGGCTTTTGCTGATAGATATTTGTGAAAGATCAGCAGTAATTCCTGAGATGTTTCCTCACCTGTTTCCTCAATAAATGGCCATCTTGTTGCATATAAAGTATGTGGTGACTTTAGCCAGTTTCATTAGTGTGTCCTATCACTTGATATATCGTCTTTCTGTTTCAACAAGGAGCTCAGAAGTCTGCATTCTTCCACTCTGAGAGGTTGGGCAATCCTGCCTTTCATTTCCAAAGGAAGCACCAGCAATTAGAGATGGTCTCAGTAAGCTCAGAAAAACAAAATTTTGCAGACCAATTCCAGAAAACCCATTAATATGTTTGGGATTCGGCTGCCTTTCTTTCCATTCCATTCATCAGGTACACTTCTAGAGCAATTGCAGAAGTCAACACTGGTTAAGGAAGGATGCTCTCCTCAGCGCTCAGTCCACCTCTCCTCCTTGGCTAAGGTTGCTGTGACTTCCATGAGGAAAAAGAGTCTTTGTAAATGTAGTTTTAACTACAGCTACACAAAAAGTGAAACAATGTTCATGTTCTTTATAAATCTTTCATTACATTTCATAATTACAGTACATGAAACTGAAAATAATAATTATTTTTTAGGCTAACCACCAATTTAAGAACTCTTGCCTGATTAATCAGATTTGTATATGAATAAAAATAGCTCTTCAGGGGAAAAAAATAGTTTGAAATGGTGGGCATATCTGTAACAGCAAGAATAATCTTCATAGAGGTATTTTGAACTGTTTGAGCAAGTGTGGGAATATGTGGTCCTCCAGTTATAGCTGAAATACAACTCTCCATTAACCTAGTTAGCATGACTAGGAAGGATACTAGGAGTTCTGGTTCAGCAACATCTGGAGGATCCCTGTCCCTTTGCTTAAGGGAGAAAAGACAATCCCCTTGTTAAGATGTTCAGTGTTATGGCTATTGTGGGAATGTGGCAAATCTTTCTTACCACAACATCTTTGCTAGCTTGGGGAGCCTGCAGTTCTTGGACAGGATGGGAAGATGCTTCTCAAATTTTCTGAGCCTCAGAAATGCTTGGTTGCTATATTCACCATGTGCCCCATTACCATTGTCTATCATCCTAGAATTCAGACATATTTGGGGGAGCAGAGTTTCTGTTGACATGTTTTGCAGAGAAACTGAATCAGACTATGATGGATGACAAAAAAGATCGCTCTTTTAAAAGGTTTAGAAAGATGGCATAAAAATTGCAATTATTACCCCATGGCTTCTATTTTATGAACGTTCTCTGTTATTAAAAAAAAAAAAAAAGGGAAATGGCAAAGTGGCATGTGTGGGCTTCAAAGTCACTGTGTTATATTCATACCATGGAAGCAATAAAAAAGTGAAGGAAGCTTTCTGGTTCCTCTTTTGTGCTCTCTGTCTTCCTCTAAGGGCTGTGTAGCTGCTGTCTCAGCAAACAGTTGCTTTTAGTACCTTACGTAAAGAAGCACTTTGTAAGTTATAAGGAGAGGTTCCTGTGAGAACAGGAAATTAGGAGAACTCTTCCTTGGGTATTTTCTTGGAGTAAAGACAAATGGAATAAAATTGGAAGCCTCCTGTATGTCATTTCTTTGTCAAACATCAAATTACATGATCTGAGTAATGGTTTCTAGAAACCTGTACTTTGTGTTGCTGTACTTTAAAGGAATTGTGTATAACAATCTAGTTTTTGGGATGTCCAATTCTTTGCCTTCAGAAAAACTGTTAGGAGGCTATCTAAGACATACATGAACCAAGAATTCTAAAGTTCCTCCCTCTGTTATAGTCTTAAACAACCCTATTAAGAAAACATCTAGTGGATGGGGAGGAGCCTCCTGCTTAAATTAATTAACAGCCTGTTCCACTCATACTCCAAAACATTTCCCAAATAATCTACATATCACATATCCACCTTTTCCAACCAAATGCTCTCTGAATGTCTTGGACTTCAAAACCCATAATTCCTAGCTAGGCTGGCCAAAGCACCAAGTTGGCGAAAGCTGATATAACCTTCAAAAATTATATAGTGGGATCAGCAAAGTATATGCAATGCCATCAACCATTTGCTTATAATGTTGCCTTAGATCTTTCATTCTCTGGTATTATCAATGTAACATAGACATTAAGAAATGTCTGATGGCAGCTGTAATGGTGGTTTGGCTGCTGTGTTCCCCACCAGTAGAACAATAGTCACAGCTGTTACTTCAACTCTGTGCCCTCTGGGCAACATTTCCTCCTAATTGTGGGCTGTATTAGCCCTGTAGCATTTGAGGAACTTGAAGCTTAATTTAAAGGCAATACAAAACTTGTTGGACTTCAGCTATTCTAATGAGAATTAATTTGAGTGTTAAAGATGTTTTATTGATACTTCCATAGCTATTATATCAATGATCCATAGCTCTGGATTATTGGAGAACAGGTTCTTCATTGTGGGTGTCTCTGATTCACACCTCATGGGTTCTACACCTGTGCAATAAACAATCAGGTGGAAATGGTTCTTAAGAACCTCATCCAGCAGTGCCCGTGGGAGGGGGAATGTGTGAAACAAGGAAGAGGCAGTCAAAGCCCCACCTCTATGCACTTGCATGCAATGTTGACACATGTATAAAATGAAAAGGATTTGAATTGCTGTACCATGGCTGCCATCTTGCTTGTTTTGACATACCTCTCCATGGACACTGCCTGCCCCACTCATCCTCGTCTACTCCTAAAAGAAGGATTTTCCATCATTCTCCTCAATTCCCTTTCGACTTTTACAGAATACTGTAAAAATTATTTGGGGTGGGGTTCAGATCCATTTTTTTTTCCTGTTCTTGCCTTGCCTGTATCTTTGAGCATGAGCGCTTCCATTCAGTCTGTGTTGCCTTTTCAGCACTCTTTCAGAATGCCAGCTAAATGGTCACTTGCTCTACTTAATTTTTTCTTGAGAAGAGCATTTGGTTGAGAACTACTTGTTTTGTCAAGCCTTTACTTAAAAGGTCAATAGAAATAACTCCTCATGCTTGTGGGCATCTTGTGGAAACAAGCTCTCACCATGGGTAACTGTGGCTACTTTCATGATGAATGCTGTGGCATTGCAAATGCTTTGCCAATCCCACATTCTAATTATATCAAATCCAGCCACTACTATGCTAACAACATGCACAAATTCAGTCAGCCAGTTGCCACTGAGTTAAGACCAATGACTGCACTGACCCCCGGCAGGTCTCAATAATCAGGCACCAAGCTGTAAGATATCCTCCTACATGTATGTAAAGAATCAATGAAATCAAGTACCAGAAGATGAATAGGCATGTTTTTAAATGGTTCTCTTGCTGGACTCCTTTAGTATCTTTCCTTCTTGATCATGCCTTTGATCATAGGCATATCATTCCCAGATCACCCACTTATTTTGGGCTTATCAGTACTGAAGCAGGGCTTGCCCTCTAGATAATACTCAGTGCCTGGACTCCAGGTCAAATCCTTCCCAGGTCCAAGCCCAAACTCATTGGCTCATTTTCATTCCTGGTCCATATCTTGATGTCAATTTATGTCATCCTCCTTCTGCTCCAATCTCTTGGGATTAATTTATTTGTAATACCATACTGACTCCCCCAGTACTATCCATCTTTGGTCCTCTTTTCTTTATCCTTGGAACACTTAATTGTGAGAAACAGAAACAATATGTTTGAATTCACCAATGATCATTCAAAGAACTGGTTACATACAAGTCATCATATCTTTTCTTGCAACTTTCCTGCACTTTAGATTTCATCATACTATTGGTCATGCAACCATAAACGTGTTTGTTTATGGGTCAGGATGGGCTGTATAATTTGTACAGGACTGTTCCTGTAGGAGTGACAACCTTAAGCTATATAATAAAGATGGGGGACATGAATCAATGACAATCCCTTAATTCTTCTTTAACACCTGCACAGGCAGTTTAAGCACACAGATCTCCTGTTTGAAGTTTGGCACAAAATATAGAATCAGTGTGAATTCAGTTTCTATACATAACTCATGACAAAAAAAATCTAATTTCACTGAGAAACAATTTTCAAAAGAAAAGCGCTGCAAGATTCAGGTGGCTGCAAAAAGACAGAGTGGAAACAAGAAGCATAGGTTAATTAACATTCCTATAAACCAATTTGAATTTTGCTTAGTGATCATAGGAACAATACTGATGAAATGGACTAATAATCTGCCTCTCATGTAGCTTTAGCAGAAAGCCAGTCCAGTTCCTAGGTAGCTGAGAGTACTGTATTGCATCTGATGAAGTGAGTTGTAATCCACAAAAGCTTATATCACTTTTCCTCAGTCAAGAACCTCCAGGATTCAGATGTGCTGGAACTGCAACTCTCAGAATTTCCAGCTAGCCTAGCTAATAGGAACTGTATAGTCCCTACACACCCAGATGGCATTAGGTAGACTTATGTCATAATATTTTTGGTTCCTTAAGAGCCACAAGAAAGTGACTAAGAATACTACTTATAGCACAGACATAGGTCACCTTTCCCAACAAAGATTAAGCAGCCAAACATCCCACTGAAGAGTTTTCAGGATTTTTATATCAGAAGAATTTCATTATAAAATTGAAACACTTATACCATTCTTACAGAGTTGGTGAGAAAATACAAGTTCTCATAGTCTTCTCTCTCCCCCCCCCCCAAACTTTTTCCTTGTGTAAGAGCTGAAGCTGGCAGGAGGAGGATCAGTGACTCTTAGACAAGACAGAATGTTTAGCTTAACATGGATCAGGTGCCTCTAATATTCAAGGTTGGGAAAAGAATAACCAAAAGCCTGTTGATTTAAAAGGGCAGGAGAAAAAGGCCTGGGACAGCCAGACAGCAAGATTCCAGGGCTCTGCAATAAGTGGATCTTCTGTGTAGATGTAACTTCTTTCAAAATTTTGTTTTTGTTGAATAGCTTTGAAAGATTATTTAAACAGAAATCACATAAGTGTAGAGATACAAAAGCAAAATAGAAGATAAATAACTACTAATAAAACTTAAACATTAAAAAAACTTTTGATAATGCATTCTCCCCTTCCCTTCCATTTATTTTCCCACCTGCTAGCCACCACCTAAATATTTGTACTACACTTTGAACGTTAAACATTGGATATTATTGCTAGTATTAAATTAAGTCGTTTCATCTATTGCTTTTTATTAGTCTCTTAACTCTTTCCCTAAAAATCATATTCTAAATGCCTGTATGTATTTGTGTTGCTGTGTAATGTGTCATATACAAAGAATGCATTCCTGCTTGAATTTAGTAAGACTTGTATTGTGAATATATACTGTCAGTTCTGTCATTGCTGCAAGTTCTCCAATTTTGGTCTCCCAATCCTATATCATTGCCAGAGTCGATATATCTTATTTGCAACATACCTAGCTGGATTGAGTCTGTGGAGTTACTGCTGTTACTGTATGTGGATTGAATTTCTGGATAGTTATTATCTGGTGCTGTGCCTAGTTAAGTCTGACAGCCATATCCACCTACTAATATTCCCAAGAATAGGGAAAGTGAGCCTGCATTCTGAGTTTAAGTAATGGCTACAGACCATTTTGCAGCCCTGCTGATAGTGGATCAGGTCACTAATGCCTAGCTCCATTATCAGAACCAAGTTGTTACCAAATGGACCAGTTAAAGATGAACCAGCTAGCCTAACAGCTCCTGTCTTCAGATTCACAATCCATATATTCTTGGGACCAGCATAACATACCATTTGTTTCCCCTTTGCTTACCACCTTAGCAGGAACTGTGTCCTACCTTGCCTGACAAGTATGTGGAATGCATCAATATGCTTGGCAAGCAGGGAGCGCATACTCTGCCGGCCATCACCTCTGATTCTGTACTATCAATCTCATTTCTGGAATTCAGATTCTCGTAAAGTGCCACTACCCAGTGTCAAAGACAGTTCACTTGCATAAAACAGTTTATTTGTGAGAATTTAGGGAACCTTTATGAGAATAGAGAGGGTTTATCCCCCTCTTTTCCTCCTTCACCAATCTTTTTTGTTAAGAAAAGGTTTTTTATTACTTACTCCTGAACTCTGTAACTATTAGGAATCATTGCTGAATTGCCTCATCTCAGAGCTCTTGGAATAGCTGAACTAGGCACAGATGTTACCAAATTAATTCTAAAAGGTGTTTACAATCTATTTCACATGAAAGAGGGGCATAAATTCCTTTGATGCTAATTGTAGGAAGTTAAATGTATGGTAATGCCATTCAGATAGGATCCAGCCCCTCAGTCTTCATAAGATTTGAAATATTTTTTATGACCTTGTGGGTGATTTTTGTCATTTACAGTATTTGGATAACTTGCTTATTTATTCTGAGGACCCTGCTGTCCATACCTAATAAGTTTGGACAACTCTTTAAT